CCCCCCGATTCATCTCCCTTTAGGTGCTAGAGGAAGCTCTGGCCACCATTTTGTTGCTCTGCTGGGATATTTTTTCTGGGTGGCTGTGAGCGGTGGGGGTGGGGTGCCGAGTGCGGCCTGCCCGGCGTGCACTGCCGCCGACTGCGGCTCGGATTAGCTATCGCCCTGTCCCCTGCCACCTCTGTGCCCCTTCTGGAGGGTAAAACCTTTAAAGTGAAAGGAAAGATGTTAAAGAAAAAAAAAAAAAAGAAGAAAAAGCACCATCTTGGCAGAGGGGGGGAGACCCCAATGCCTTTAAAATTCTGGCGTGCAGCAAAACCATCTAGGCTGGGGAAAAATAGGGCTGAGGGAATGGGAGAAAGCTTTTCCCTTGGAATCAACTACAAAGAGCGGGAGTTCAGGTTGGGAGCGTGCCTTTTTAAACGACAGATATCGCAGGTACGCGTCGGCGATGGCAATAATAATAATTGATAACGAACAGCGATGTGCTGGTACTGCCCTGCTCCCCCTCCCCGGCGCCCCCAGTAAAATAATACCAACCAAGTCTCCTTGTATTTATATCCCTGCGTGTCTGTGGGTGGCCTAGCCCCATTCATCATTTGGCTCCCACTGCAGAACTCGCTCCATTTTTAAAATTATGCATGATACACTGAAGAGACAATTTGGGTTTCCCCCACCTCTCCCTTGCCCTTGAAGAAAGCAAGCCCTTGTCTCATTTGCATTTGCATTAAAACCCTGCTCTCTATAAGCTAAGCAAAGGGGAAGGACTTGAAGCCTATGGGATGGCTTTAGGGCTCTGCCCCTTGCTTTTGGCTCTCTCTCTCTCTCTTTCTCATTCTCTCTCGTGCTTTGATCTCTGCTTAACAACAGTAACGTCACAGGGACTATACAGGAGAGTTTTGTTGGAAGTTAGAAAGTTTTGCAGCCTCCAGAGGGCTGTAGCGGCAGTAGCAGAAGCAGCATCCAAGGGACTCCTGGAAGGGGAAGAGAGAGAGCGAGCGAGCGACTGACTCAGTCCTGCTGCAGAAAACTGACTCGAGACGACGGAGGCAGACATGGAACATCAGCTGCTGTGCTGCGAGGTGGAGACCATCCGACGAGCCTACCTAGATGCCAACCTCCTCAATGACAGGGTGCTGCAGACAATGCTGAAGGCGGAGGAGACCTGCTCGCCCTCCGTCTCCTACTTCAAGTGCGTGCAGAAAGAAATCTTGCCATATATGAGGAAAATAGTTGCCACTTGGATGTTGGAGGTTTGTATCTTTCGGGGATTTTCTTTGCAAGCTTCGGCACCGAGATGAATTAAGCCGGAGAGCTGCTCCCCCA